ATGTCGATGTAAAAAAAAAAAAAAAGTGACTTTAGGTCAACTCTCCTTAGCACAAGAATAGGAAAAAGCAACCAATATACAAATCTTTTTGCTTTGATGCTTATCAAGGGAAATCTTGTTTTCATTGGGGGGGGGGGGTATTTATGATTTTGAACCAGGAACTTCATGCTTTGTGTTTCTTTGGGCTGTTTTATCCTGTTTCCCAGGCTGTTAGATTTTTGAGATTGCGAAAGAAGGCCTCTGGTCACTTCAAAGGGCAGAGGCTGACCCTTTGGCAGCTAGAATTTCTCTCTTGCTCTCTTGCCTGGTGGTTACTTCTCTGAGGAAAAGGGTAACTCTGCGTGCCCAGATCTGGCTTCATTTTCCTCGTGTCTAATCTGGGCACTAAAAGCAATAGAAACTTCATAATGGCTGGAAATGTGCCTTAGTGGTAGAATGCTTGCCTAGCATGAATGAAATTCTGGGTTCGATTCCTCAGTACCCCCATAAACAGAAAAAGCCAGAAGTAGCACTGTGACTCAGGCTCAAGTGGTAGAGCACTAGCCTTGAGCATAAGAAAGCCAGGGACAGTGCTCAGGCCCTAAATTTAAGCCCAAGACTAGCAAAAAGAAAAAAAAAGAAACTTCTTAGTGTCAAGCAAGAGTAACCAGCTATGCCATGTACCAGTGGCTCATGCCTATCATCCTAACTACTCAGGAGGTTGAGATCTGAGGATCATGATTCAAAGCCAGTCCAGGCAGGAAAGTCTGTGAAACTTATCTCCAATGAACCACCATAAAGCCACAAGTGAAAGTGTGGCTCAGAGTGATAAAGTGCTATTGAGCAAAAAAAAAAAGCTAAGGGAAAGAGTCCAGGCCCTGAGACCAAGCCCCCAATAAATAAAGAAGGAAGTCCATCCACTACAGCCCTGTTAAGGGGCTGGTAGCAAAGTTTAGGAGAGGAAACAATACATATGGAAGACCCTGATTATATGATCCAGCCCTCAGAGATAAAACTGAGCTGCGATTGAGTTGAGACTGTATTTCTGGAAGAAGGAATGATACTGATAATTGATACCCTTAATGGGCAGCCTATAATGGGCCTGGCACTGAATCTATGTGATCACATCTCACTTCGTCTTTACCCAGCAGGTGCATAGCAGGTCTTGGAGACTTTGGAAGTCTCCGTCTCTTTTCCCCTACACTGGTTTTCCTATCCCTAGGTTGTACTGAGTTGTAGGAGATCTATTTGTCCCTGTTCCATTGTGAGAAATCCAGAATGGACAAGTTCTAGGAAGTTACTATCAACTATTCTTTGTCCCAGAATTCCTTTGGTGTGGCCTAATTCATAGGCCCATTAATTGGGAAACATCAGAAAAGTCAAATACAGCTTGCTACCTTGTTTTATTTGTTTTACTTCTCTGGAGGCTCTAAATAGAGTGCTCTGTGTGTGTGTGTGCATATTAACCCCTCACAAGGGCTGCTGGACATCCTTAATCTCAGGTTTCAAAGTCTGTGTAATTGGTCAGACTCTGGTTAAAGTCAGGAAGCTTTGTGTGTGTGTGTGTGTGTGTGTGTGTGTGTGTGTGTGTGTGTGTGTATACACTAGTATTGGGGCTTGAACTCAGGGGCCTGGGCTGCTTTTGCTCAAAGTTCGTGCTCTACCACTTGAGCCACAGCACTACTTCTGGCATTTTTGTGGTAAATTAGAGATAATAGTCTCCAATTTCTTACTGGGGCTGGCTTTGAACTTCGATCCTCAGATCTCAGCCTCCTGAGGAGCTAGGATTACAGGAATGAGCCATGGGCACCCAGCAAGTGTATTTTCTGCTTTTGTGCGGGTTCTGGGGCTTGAACTCAGGTGCAGGGAGACTAGACCCTTCTTCTTTCCATGCCAGGCAAAACCTGGCTAAGGCTGTTGGAGGGCTGGCCTGAGTTGAGGGCTGAAGCCAGAGTTTTCTTTCAGTGCCATAGGTCCTTGGAAGGAATGCTGGGCTGTCACATTCCTGCTGAGTTACATATGTCACCTTTTCCCTGCAGACGCTGTTTGCTTTGGTTATAATAACTCAACTTTTCTCTTCCAGGTTGGCTTCCCACCCTAGACCCAGGTCCTGTCCATCTTTCTGTCTGTGCTAATTCAGATATTCCCCACAGGTTTGTTGGACAAAAGAAGATAAACCAGATAAATAGATATGGGCTTCTCAGCTCCCCTGATAATTCCAACAAACCTCACTTTGAGTCCTCTGGTTTCCTGAGACCAAGATGAAATGCATCTTCATTAACATTCATTTTAGTTCTCAGGAATAGAAATGAGAGCTGGGAATGTGGCTTAGTGGTAGAGTGCTTGCCTAGCATGCATGAAGCTCTGAGTTCTATTCCTCAGTACCACATATACAGAAAAAGCCAGAAGTGGTGCTGTGGGTCAAGTGGTAGAGTGCTAGCATTGAGCAAAAGAAGCTCAGGGATATTGCCCAGGCCCTGAGTTCAAGCCCAGGACTGGCAGAGAGGGGGTGGAGGGAGAGGGAGAGGGAGCAGAATGAGTTGAGCACCAGTGGCTCATTATGCCTGTAATCCTAGCTACTCAGGAGGCTGAGATCTGAGGATTGAAGTTTGAACCCAGTCCTGGGGCAGGAAAGTCCACATGGAGATTCTTATCTCCAATGAAACACAAAAAGCTGGAAGTAGAGCTGTGGTTCCAGTGGTAGAGCATGAGCTTTGAGCAAAAGAGCTCAGGCAAAAGAGCTCAGAGACAGTGCCCGGGCCCTGGCACAAAATAAAAATGAAGCACCAGTGCCTTCCACAAAGATCACCCAGACTACAGCTGCAACGGGACAGATTGGGTTGATTGTCACAGTGAAGAGGGACACACAGCCTAGGAAAGAAGTAGCCGGCTTGGGAGACGGCAGTAGAAAAGTCTTACCGGCTTCGGGCTTGCATTCTTGATGGAGGATTACAGAAACAGGACTTTTCTCTGTATTGACCGTGCAGGAAACAGGAGGAATTCCATTGGGCCTGTTAATAAATCTTATCTAGGAAGAAGCAGGCCCAAAGAAAGGCAAGAGGGGCAAGTGGAAAAACAGCAGAAATCACTCGTGTCGCCAGGAGAGGAAATGTTTGTTCATACTCGATAGCACCTTGAGTTCTCGTGGGTGGGGGACATGGTTATAGAATGTTCTTGATTTTGCCATGACACACCATAGTTACAGAACGACTTCGTGTGGGTGTCTTGTGACATGATTTATGTTCAAGTGGAGAATACCAAGGTTTTCCTGTAAATCTGATTTTCACTCCTAGCAACACCAAAGTCTAGCAGGCCAACTTCCGGATCTTGGGGGTGGGGGTGGGGATGCTGTTTTTCTCGGAAGAGAGAAGAAGTGCACAGGAATTTTCTGGGAGTTTTGGCAGAGATTTCCTGTAGTTTGTGCAAGAAACATAAAGGGGCAGGAGGGTATGAGTTAATAATTGCTGTGGCCAGGTGCTGGTGGCTCACGCCTGTAATCCTAGCCACTCAGGAGGTTGAGATCTGAGAATCACGGTTCAAAGCCAACCTGGGCAGCAAAGATGCTTATCTCCACTTAACCACCACAATGACAGAAGTGAAGCTCACGTGATAGACTATTAGCCTTGAGCTAAAAAGCGCAGGGACAACACCTAGACCCTGAATTCAAGCCGTAGGATGAGCACAAAAGAAATGGCTGAATTTTTTTTTCCCCCAAGCTGGGCACCCGTGGCTCACATCTGTAATCCTAGCTCCCTAGGAGGCTCAGATCTGAGGATGGAAGCCAGCCTGGTTAGGAAAGGCGGTGAAACTCTCCTCTCCAATTAAACAGCAAAAAACCAGATTGCAACAAAAAAAAAAAGGCAGAGTCCAAGCCCCAGTACTAGATTATTACCACATTCACATCCATCTGCCAGCGATGGCAGGTGGGAAGGGCATGCTCCCTGGCCCCAGACTTGCTGATCCTGAGGTAAAACAAGTGCAAATGGGGTGAGTGGCAGAGACTGGAGACCTGGTTAAGCAAAGCACCAGCATCCCCTCCCTGGAAGGGGACAGGACTTGGCAGTGTGGTGCTAAGAGTTTAGAAGCACAGGACAGGGGAGCAGGAAGACATGGCTTAGATGATCATTGTAGCAGGGGCTGGGAAGGTGACACAGTGGTAGAGCGCTTGCCTCGCATGCATGAGGTCCCGGGTTCGATTCTGCAGCACCACATATGCTGGAAAAAGCCGGAAGTGGCGCTGTGGCTCAAGTGGTAGGGCACTAGCCTTGAGCTGAAGAGCTGAGGGACAGCGCCCAGGCCCAGAGTTCAAACCCCACGACTGGCAAAAAATAAGATCACTGTGGCAGATATGAGCAGAATATTCTTTTTGGGGGGCGGGGTCAGGAGCTTATTGGGAGCCTCACTCCAGCCATGGGACATGGGGGGGGGGTATGCTAGGGGTAAACGCATGCAAGAGGCTCAATGGTAGCAAGCAGCAGCAGCAGCAGCAGCTAGAGAGGGCATCTCTTCTGCCTCCCTGGTCCTTCTGCAAGCAGGTGTGTGTGTGGGGGGGGAACTATGATGGGTAGTGGGAGAAATGGAAAGAGGACAAGAATGGGGGGGGGGAAGGGACTGGAGGGGTGGATGGGGAGCTGGAAGAAGTTGGGAAATTGGGAGGCCTCTGGAGCAGATCTGATGCAGGGGTGGCTGCCGTCAGAAGCAGGCCACAGACAAGAGACCCTGAGAGCTGTGTTCTCCATGGAGCTAGAGGGGGCGGGGGTGATGGGAAAGAGGCCTTGGGGATGGTGGGGGGACCGGCCGACACTATGATCCCCCCACCACCCTGCCCGTGTTCCCAGACTCTCGTGGGAGAACAAAGTGTCCAGATCGGTAGCACAGGCTGGGAGCTCCCTCCCTCCTTCCCTCCCTCCCTCTCTCCAGCCAGCCCGGGGCCAGGACGGGACTAGGCGCCTCCCCCTAAGGCCCCGGTCAGACCTGGAGGTGGGGTCGGGAACCAGATCTCCTGGCTCTGATGTCACCGCAGGGCCTCAGCGGCCGGCGCCCCAGCTGGAGTCTCCGGCTGGAGTCTCAAGGTACAAGGGTGGGGTGAGGGGGTAGAAAGGGAGTGGGGGGGTCCCAGGAGGAGGAGGAGGTTGTAGGGGGGGACCCAGAGAGGCGAGGGGGGGTGGAAATGTCCACAGTGGGGGCATCGTCGTCCTCATTATGTCCAGTGGATCAATGAGGTCTGTGAGTGGGGGGGGGGGGGTGGAGGTGGGGGTCCCCTGTGCATCTTTGCTCTTTGCCAGAGTCTGGGAGGGTGGGGGCAGATGAACCCACCCATCTGATCGAACTGTGGAGGGGGGTGGATGGTGTGTGTACCCCTTAAAATACACCGGGGGAGGCAACTCTACGACCTCCCCCTCCCTACTTCTGCCCTTTTGGGGTTCCTCGTACCCGGGGTCATGGGGTGCCTTTGACCCCTCTGAGCCCTTCAAGAAAGGCCGAGGAGATACAAGTGGGTCATCTGCCATCTGGCCCTCCCCCGTGTCCCCGGAGCTTCGTGGGCCCCTGTCACCGGCCCCCCTTCCCCTCCCTCTTCCCCCAGGGTCTGGTGACCTCTCCTAACTCTTCCTGGAGCCCCTGGGGCTTGAAGCACCCCATATGAGGTGTCTCCATACCTCTCCCCGGGTGCCACCAGCGGCCTGCATTTCCTGCACCCCCATTCCCAGCTCCAAGGAATACCCCCCCCCCCTCTCCCCTCCCCCAGGGCTGGAACAGGCTGGCAGAATGGGGGGGGGGGAGGGGGGACAGAAGCCAGGAAGCCCAGCCAGACAGAGCTGCCTAGATTGGGAGTCCATGACTCACTTAGTTCCCTCCCCCCCCCCCCCACTTCAGTTTAGCAGGGGATCCCACTTGAGAAGATCAAACACTTCTCTGAGAGGGAAGATTTCATTCCGGGTCATTCATTTGGGGCCTCTCTGGTGATCTTTCAAGGATTTGTTCCCATTGCCTGTCCTGGGGCTTGAAGCCAGGGCCTGGATGCTGTCCCTGAGCGTTTGTTGTTGTTGTTGTTTTGCTTAAGGCTGGTGCTTACACCACTTGAACCACAGCTCCACATCTGCCTTTTTGGTGGTGAATTAGAGATCAAGAGTTTCACAGGACTTTCCTCCCTGGGCTGGCTTTGAACTGTGATCCTCAGATCTCAGCCTTCTGCGTAGCTAGGATGACAGTGGTAATTCACTGACGCCCTGCTGATTTTTTTTTTCTTTTTCATTAGAAACTGTCTTTGTGGATTTCACCCACAAGCCTTAACTAAATTCCTGGTTTCTTTCTTTTCTTTTGCCTAATCTTTCCACTCTGTAGAACTCTAGACTTAGCCTGATCACTGCCAGATCTATTACCCCCCCCTGCCCCCTCCCCCCCCCCCCCCCCCCCCCCCAGTAACACACAGAAAACTTCCCAGGCCCCAGACTTGAATGAACACTGGATCTCTCAGCCAGGCCTTAACCCCCAGTTTCCTCTTTCCCCTCAGGGTAACTTCACCCTTTAGATCTTTTTATGAGGGGTCTGACACTTTCACTCATTGGCTAGCGCTCTACCAGCTGAGCCACGCCTCTAATCCCAGCCCTTTAGATCTCTTCCTTTGACCTCTGAACTCATCTTACTCCTTTCTGCAGGTGAATAAGTATATATGAAGTGTTCTCCCCATCGCCCCCCCCCCCCCCCCAGGCTCAGCTCCAGTCTTGTGGTTTTTCTAAGCAGGGACCCCAAGCTGCTCACTATTCCCCACTCTTCCAGGCTTAGTTAAAATGCCTTGGTGTCAGGCCAGGCACCTGTGGCTCACGCCTGTAACCCTAGCTACTCAGGAGGCTGAGATCTCAGGATCACAGTTCAAAGCCAGCCTGGGCAGGAAAGTCCGTGAGACTCTTATCTCCAATGAACCACCAGAAAACCGGAAGTGGCACTGTGGCTCAAGTGGTAGAGCACTTGCCTTGAGCTGAAGAGCTCAGGGACGGCACCTAGGCCCAGAGTTCAAGCCCCATGACTGACAAAAAAAAAAAAAGAAAGAGAATGCCTTGTTGTCTTGGGACTTGGGGTCAGCACCAAGCATGAGCTGTGTGTAACTCAGTCCACAGCTGCCACCAATGGCCATCCTAAGTTATGGCCTCCCCTAGCCATGTGGGTTGATTCCAACTGCAAGAGGCTTCCTGCCTCTTGCAAGTGTGAAAACTCCTGATTGTGCCGAAGCCCCCAAACACAGCAAAGCAGCGAGGTCCCTGGGGAGGAGCACAGCAGGTTCTGCAAAGAGCAATCTCCACCTGCCAAGGCCACCTAGGTGCGAAAGTCCTTGACAGCCAGGTGCTGGTGGCTCACACCTGTAATCTTAGCTACTCAGAAGGCTGAGATCTGAGGGAAGCCCCCTCCCCCTCTCTCCTCCAAGGTGTGAGGTTCTTGGTACTTCCTCTGTCTTTTGGGAACATGAGCCCCTCCTACCAAGAACTCCTTTCCCTTCCTTGACCAGCAATCTGTAATATCCTGGACCTTAGAAAGGTGGGGGGGGGAAGGCTCAGGATGTGGCTTAGTGGTAGAGTGCTTGCATCGCATGCATGAAGCCCTGGGTTCGAGTCCTCAGTATCACATAGACAGAAAAAGCCAGAAGTGGCGTTGTGGCTCAAGTGGTAGAGTGCTAGCCTTGAGATAAAGAAGTTCAGGGGCAGTGCCCAGGCCCTGAGCTCCAGCCCCAAGACTGGCAAAATAACTACTTGGATAGTGGAGGGTGACTCTGAATTCCAGAAAGGCTCAAATGAACCTGAGTTTTGGTCCCCACCAAATGTGGATCACATTAATCTCTGTACTGTCCACCAAGCAGTTCAGGAAAGACAAGCCTCCTTCCCACTCTCATAATAATTGGGAACCTGGGGCTTCTAGGCCTCAAAATCTCTCTGAACTTGACCCTGGCATACCCACTCCACACTTCCCCTTGCTCCCCTTCCAAGCACTGGGAAGGTATTCATTTCCTGTGAGTCCTGCTGTGCGTGCAGTTTTCTTTCTCTTCCTTTCCTTCTTTTTCTTTTTGATGCTGTTTCTGAGGCTTGTACATAGGGCCTGGGTGCTGTCCCTAAACTTTTTTGCTCAAGGCTAGCACTTAGACGTGGAGCTGGCTTTTTTTGGGGTGGTGGTAGAATGGGGTGGGGTGTTGTTAATTAAAGATAAGAGTCTGGGCAGGTTTCAAACTGTGATCCTCAGATCTCAGCTTCTTGAGTAGATAGGATTACAGGCCTGAGCCTGTAAAACCAACTCTCAGTTTATTTGTAAAAATGGTCATCTATGAAGGCAAGGCTCTTACCCATTTGATCCCCTTCCCTAGGAAAGATTAATGGAGAGGAAAGGGGGAGAGCTCCAACTAAAGGCCTCCTCTTTGCCAAGTCCACTCCTACCTCCTCCCTGCATGTCCGTTCCTTCCCCTGCCATTCAACAGATGTTTGTTTAACTTTGATTACATGCCATGCACTGTGCAGGGTACTGAGTGATGACTAAGGGCAGGGCCTGGCCTCAGGAAGCTGGAGGTGTGGGAGTGTGTGTGTGTGTGTGTGTGTATGTGGGGGGGGAAGTGGGGGGGATAGGAGGAGAGAATGTCATGTAAACAGTTTCAAGTATCCATGATCAGCCCTGTTGTGGGAGAGGCTCAGGACACGCTAGAGATCCACAAGACCAGAAGACTTTTTTTTTTTTTTGGTCATGGGCCTTGAACTCTGGGCCTGGGCGCTGTCCCTCAGCTCTTCAGCTCAAGGCGAGTGCTCTACCACTTGAGCTACAGCTCCACTTCCGGTTTTCTGGTGATTTATTGGAGATAAGAGTTTCACGGGCTTTCCTGCCCGGGCTGGCTTTGAACCATGATCCTCAGATCTCAGCCTCCTGAGTGGCTAGGATTACAGGCGTGAGCTACTGGCACCCGGTTCAGAAGACTTTTTTTTTTTTTGGGTCCGGTCGTGGGGCCTGAACTCTGGGCTTGGGCGCTGTCCCTCAGCTCTTCAGCTCAAGGCTAGTGCTCTACCACTTGAGCCACAGCACCACTTCTGGCTTTTTCCTTTTTGCTTATGTGGTGCTGAGGAATCGAACCCAGGGCCTCAGGCATGCAAGGCAAGCGTTCTACCACTGAGCCACCTTCCCAGCCCTCAGAAGACTTCTAATAGAAGACTTTCTATAGAAGCAGCCAAAAAAAAAAAAAAAAAAAAATACCAGGGCAAAGCCAAGTACTGGTGCTCATGCCTCTAATCCAAGCTACTCAGGAGGCTGAGATCTGAGGATCGTAGTTCAAAGCCAGCCCAGGCAGGAAAGTTTGTGAGAGTCTTCTCGCCAATGAATCACTAAATAAAGCCGGAAGGGGAGTTGGGTAAATGCTCAGGGACAACGGCCGAGTTCAACCCCCAGGATGGGTGCATGCACACGCCCACACCCCCTACCCCCCCTCCACACACACAGAGCAAAGAAGGGCTGGAATGGGAGGTGAGCCCCTCATTTCTAGACAAAATAGTCTCAGAAGAGGGAAAGTCATTATTTCTGGGGTTTGCCAATCGATTCTAGGGACAAATTGGTGACTTATTTCCCCATAGAGAGTTTGAGCTTTGTTGGATTCTGGCACTTGGTGGTGAGGGAACATTGGTAAACTGGCTTTCCACTGGGTTTGCCTGTCGGAAATTGATTCTGGCTGCAGTACTTGTGGAAGGATGCCTAGAATCCAGCCAAGGGACTGCCACTTCCCACTGTGTATGTGCCCCCGGGGCAAATCACTTCCCAGGGTCTCATCTGTAGAGCACAGATAGAAGTGGTGAGCATCAAGATGGAGATTTATATCGAACACGTAGAACAGAGGGTCGCCAAGGGCAGGAAAGAGCCCTACAGCTGCCCCTGGCCTGCCCTGCCCTGAGTCTCTCTCTCTCTTCCCTTCTTGGCTCTTGTGTGGTCTGAGAAACAGTCTCCACCATTGTTTACCAGGAAAGATCACACGGAGAAAGTTAACAGACCAGGAAGCCAGTTGGGTGGGACAGGGTTGAAGCATGGGTATGTTCTTGGCATTAGAGGAGGTACCAGGGTAGAGGCCACTGCTGGGAGTGGGGAAGGGAAGGGAAAGCAGCTGGGATTGGGCTAGCTGCCCCCCCTCCACACCTCACCCCAGCTGCTCCTTAGAACTGGTCCTACCATGCCTGCCACCCTAGACTCCAACGTGACTGGGCCAAAATGAGGACAAGGGGCCTGGTTCTGTTGGCTCACACCTGTCATCCTAAGCTACTCAGGAGGCTGAGATCTGAGGATAGAGGTTCGAAACCATTCCGGGCTGGAAAGTAGATGAGACTCTTAACACCAATGAACCGGAAGTGGCACTGTGGCTCAAACTGGAGAATTGGTAGCCTTGAGCAAAAGAGCTTAATTAAGGACTGCGCCCGCCCCGGCAGGGAAGGATGCCAGGGAAGGAAGATGTTCAGCCCGGGGTGGTGGAGAGGCCAGCAGGCTGTGTTAACTCTTACCTGGAAATCCTTACCACCACTGAGCCCCATCCCTGTTTTTGTTTTTAAGGACAGGCGAAGCCAGTCACCATCCTGAGCTCCTACCCGCCCAGCGATGGAGGCCCTGGGTCCCGGAGGCCTGGGTTCTGGAGGCGATCGCGCCTCCCCGGCCTCATCCACTCGAAGCCTAGACTTCGGGCAGCTGTCCACGCGTGCCGACTCGGCCTACAGCTCTTTCTCCACCGCCTCTGGTGACCCTGAGCCGCGCACCCCGTCCCCGGCCACCGATCTCCTTCCTTGCCTGGACTGGGGCTCCGTGCGCGTGGCGTGGGGCGGCTCGGCCCCCGTCACTCCGGACCCCACCGTGCGCCCACCCCGATCCCGGCCAGCCGTGGCCACGCGCGGTGGGCCGCGCCGGTCCCCGGAGACACGGGGACCCCCGGGGACGTTCAGCAGACAGGCCACCCCTCTGCTGTGCGCGCTGGCTGCCGAAGCCGAAGCCCAAGCTCGGGCGCAGGCCGCGGAGCCGCCCAGCCCTCCAGCCTCGCGGGCCGCCTACCGGCAGCGACTCCAGGGCGCGCAGCGGCGCGTGCTCCGCGAGACGTCGTTCCAGCGCCGGGAGCTCCGCATGAGCCTGCCCGCCCGCCTGCGACCCCCGCCCGCGGCGCCCGCGCGCCTCCCCGCGGCGCACGCGCGCTCCGCCTCGCTCAGCCACGCGCCGCCGCCGCCGGGGGACCCGGAGCTCCGCCCAGCGCCGCCGCCGCCGCGCTCCCCGGCTCCCCCGCCAGGCGTCGCCGCCGGGGGGCGCCTGGCTCGGCAGCCGCGCCAGGGGTGGGGTCCCTCGCAGTCGGGGGAGCTGGCTGGCGTGGCTGAGGGTGGCAGCGTGGGGCCAGCTCAGGATGGCTCGCGCCCGGACCCCGCGAAATCGGAACCCCCGGAGTTGCATGGTGGTGGGGTGCGAGTGGAGTGCAAATCCTGGAATCCCCTCGAGTTCGAGTCCCGGTCCGTGAAGTTTGACGAAGCTTCTAGGCCCGCCAGTAGGAGGAGTCAGAGCGCTTCGGGCCAGGTCTTGGATCCCTGGGAAGGTTCTAGAGAGGCCATGATCACCATTCAGGTATGGGAGATAAGTGGGTGCAGGCTGGGGTGCGGGGAGCACCCGAGAGACCTCACACCTCAGTCCACCACCGTTTACCTTTCCAGGCTGTCCCGCAAGGAACAGAACCTCCTAGACCATTGTTTCAACCCCAGCTTTCCAGGTGAGAGATAAGGCGATGAAGTTCTGGGGATAAAGTTGGGTGCAGAAGCATCTTTTTGCAACTCTTAAGCATACAGTTCTACTTACCCTGGATTTGAACCCCGTGAACTCCGTCCAAACTGCACATCCCACTATATACCACGGTGCAGCATGGTGGGGGCTGGAGATGTGGCTTAGTGGTAGAGTGCTTGTCTAGCATGCATGAAGCCCTGGGTTCGATTCCTCAGTACCACATACACAGAAAAACCAGTGAAAGCGGCTCAGGGACTGTATAAAGGTCCTGAGTTCAAGCCCCAGGACTGGCAAACAACAACAACAGTAACACCTGCTGGGTGGTCAGTGTGCAATTCTTGCCTCCAGGTTCTTGATTCCAAAAAAGGCTGGAGCAATTTCCCAGAACAGCCCAGTCCACTGTGAGCAGAGGGTCTCAAAGAACTGTGGCTTGTCGCTTCGGCTCCCTTCCCTTCCTGACGATGATGATGTGTTCATGGAAGAAGGGGTGCCGGTCAGGATGAGAATATCTCCAGATTCCCTGGCTCCCCAGGGGCTCCTAACCAGGTGATTTTTCCCTCTTCCTTTTTTTTTTTAAATTTTTATTTTGGTTGGTCATGGGGCCTGAACTCTGGGCCTGGGCGCTGTCCCTCAGCTCTTCAGCTCAAGGTGAGCACTCTACCACTTGAGCCACAGCACCACTTCTGGCTTTTTCTGCTTATGTGGTGCTGAGGAATCGAACCCGGGGCCTCATGCATGAGAGGCAAGCGCTTTACCACTGAGCCACCTTCCCAGCCCTCCCTCGTCCATCTAAGCCAAGTGAGACATTGCTTTCACACATTCATATCTAGAAAATGCTACCTGAGAGCTGGGCTCTGAGGCTCATGCTTGTAATCCTAGCTACTCAAGAGGCTAAGATCTGAGGATTGCAATTCAAAGCTAGCCTGGGCAGGAAAGTCCATTAGACTTATTTCCAATAAACTATGCCCATTTCACACACACACACACCCCCCTGCAAAAAAAAAGCCAGATGTGGAGCTATGGTTCAAGTGGTAGAGTGCTAGCTTTGAGCAAAAGAAGCTCAGGACCAGCACCCAGGCCGTGAGTTCAGGTTCCAGGACTGGTATGAGAACAAGAAAATGCTTCTTGACTGGAGCTTGGAAAACCTAGGGATGAGACAGAGTGGAGTTGAGGGTGGGGACAGGTGGCTTTTGAAGAGTCACCCCTTAACCAGATGCTGTTGGTGTACGCCTGTAATCCTAGCAACACAGGAGGCTGAGATTGGAGGATGGTGGTTTGAAGCCATCTTGGGCAGGCAAGTCCATGAGATTCTTCTCTCCAATTAATGACAGGAAAACTGGAAGTGGAGCTGTGGCTCAAAGTGGTAGAAGGTTAACCTAGAGCAGAAAAGCTCAGGGACAATGCCCAGGCCTTGAATTCAATTCCCATGACCAACAAAAAAGAAGGAAGGAAGGATGAAAGGAGGAAGGAAGGAAGGAAGGAAGGAAGGAAGGAAGGAAGGAAACAGAAAAGCCACTACTTACCTGTGGCTTGAGCTTTTTCTCATTCGCTGTCTCCTCTGTTTCCAGTGCGCATGCCCCTGACCAGCAGTATGGAAATGGCTTGAGTCACAGAGCTAGCCAGGCTACAGTTCCTGAAGAGTGCATCCTCCATCCCTGTCTCCAGATTGTAGGAGCAGATGACTGCTGGCAGCGGATGGATGTCTCTGTGGGTGTCTTTAGACCCACAAGCTGTAGCCCCCCGGAAGCTGCAAATGGTGACACCCCAACCATTGACCCTTCTGGACTACTGACCTCTGACCCCTCTGCAACTGCAGAAAATGGCCCCCTCAAACCCTCCCCAGTTGATGTCCTGGAACCTTCAGGTAATGATCTTCCAGGCTCACCTCACCACACTACCCTGGCCAGGGGTCCTGGCCAGCCAACATGGCCTAGTCCGCATCTCCAGGAACTGGTTCAAGAGCTAGCCAGACTGGACCCCTCTCTGAGTGACACTTTTGCCTCCCAGTCCAGCCCAGAGCCACCCCTGGGTCTGCTGGATGGGTTGATTCCTTTACCAGAGATCTGGGCCGCCATGAGGCCAGCGTGTTGGGAGGAGGTTGGAGAAGAGACCGAGGGTGCTTCTGAGCCAGGGTGAGTGAGAGGCACCGGGGACTCAGGGGCTCAGGCTTTCCAAGGGCGGGGGAGGGGAGGGGGAGGAGATCATACAACTCAGGCAGCTGTGATTTGGCCCACAGATGCCACGCGGGCAGCCTTACATGGCATCTGCCAGCTTCTCAGGAGGCCACGAGACAGGAAAACTCCACCTCGTCTTTCGTACCTGATCAGCCATGCGGCCTAGGGTTAGGTCCTGAATCCAAATACAACATCCAGGCCAAGAAAGTGAGTGTGGGAGGGGCTGGGAAGGTGGCTCAGTGGTAGAGTGCTTGCCTTGCATGCATGAGGCCCTGGGTTCGATTCCTCAGCACCACATAAGCAGAAAAAAAGCCGGAAATGGTGCTGTGGCTCAAGTGGTAGAGCGCTAGCCTTGAGCTGAAGAGCTGAGGGGCAGCGCCCAGGCCCAGAGTTCAAGCCCCAGGACTGACACAAAAAGCAAGTGAGTGTGGGAGAGGGTAGGGGGGCAGGGGGAGACTAGAAGACTAGGTAGGGAGGGGAGGAGGAAGAGCCCTAAAGTCAGGGCAGAGAGTTTAGAGACACTCCCTCCAGGTGGAGCTGGCCAGCCTACTCCAAAAGATGCTGGTGGACCTGCAGGCAGAGCAGGAAAGACTACAGGGACTGGCCCGAGCTTGGGCTAGACGAAGGGAAGACCTGGAGGCTGCGGTGAGCCGTACCTGTGCACCCCGGGACCTGGAGCGGTTCACCCGGTTCCTGGCTGACCTGGAACGTGTGCTTGGCCTCCTGTTACTGCTAGGCTGTCGCCTGACCCGCGTGCATCGTGCAATGGGCAGGCTGGGCTCCGCTGGCGCTCCAGAAGAGCGGGTACAGTAAAGCTTGGGGAGGGGGGGGTGGCGATCGGGGCGGGGTGGAGCCTGCCATCTTGTAGGCCCTGGCAAGGTGGCACACCCCATGTTTTCTGCGTGCGCTTCTAGGCCTCCTTGTTGGAGCGGCTGAGGCTTTTACAGCGCCAGCAGGAAGATGCTAAGGAGCTGAAGGATCACGTGGCCCGGCGCGAGCGTGCCCTGCGGGAGGTGCTGGGGCGGGCACTGCCCACGGAGGAGCTGAGTGCCTATGGTGCCCTGCTGGCAGGCAAGGCCGCCATCCTGGCCCAGCAGCGCAGTCTAGATGAGTGCGTCCGCCTTCTGCAAGACCAGCTGGACGCCATCAGAATTGACCTTGGCCATCGTCCCCTTTGTCCCAGGCCATCCTGGCCCCTGGGGTCCTGTTTGTCCCATGCCAAGCTCTTTCCTGCTTCCCCTGTCTAGTTCCAGGGAGTGGGGATGGGGCTCAACCACGCCAGATCCATGCTGGTTTATTGGCTGATTTGTCCCTACAGGGAGACCTGGCTTTCCCAGAATGCTCCTTCCTCCAGGTCTCCCCTGGCCTTTGTCCAAGTCTTGGGGGGGGAGTATTGGGAAATTTAACTCCTGGATCTGGGAAACCTGCAGTATTAGCCAGGCACTGAGTGCAAGCATATCATCTTAGCTACTCGAGAGGCCGAGATGTGAGGAACTGGGTTCAAAATCCAAACCTTGGGTGGAAAAGTCTGTGAGACTCTGAATCTCCAATTAACCAGCAAAAAAAGCTGGAAACAGAGGGGTGGCTCAAGTGGTAGAGTACCGGTCCTAAGCAATAAAAGCTAAAGAGAGTGCCCCGGCCCTGATTTCAAGCTCTAGTACTGGCAAAAAGCAAAAGAACAACAAAGAAACCCTGCAGTATTTCAGTTTTTGTGATGGGGGGGGGGGGGGAAGGAGTATCTATTAAGCTTTTGGGAAAGGAATCAAGTCCAAGGAGCATTTCTGCTTAAGGTGCAGAATGGCCTTTTATTATTTTTTTTAATAAAAATTTCTTTTTTTTTGGTCGGTCGTGGGGCTTGAACTCTGGGTCTGGGTGCTGTCCCTGTGCTCTTCAGGCGAGCGCTCTCCCGCTTGAGCCACAGCGCCACTTCCTCAATAAAAATTTCTAAGAGCAGTTCTATCACTTACACACAGAAGAGGGACTAAGCAGAATGCCAGTCCAGGCTGGAAATGTCTACGAAGATTCTGGAGAACCCAGCTTGGAAACAGAAGAGACTGGGGGAGGCTGGTAATTGCCCTGTCACAGTTATCAATCATTGTCCAGATGCCAGCTTCACTACTGAACAAAGCCTAAGGCTCTGTCCAGATCTCCTTGGTGGGTTTAAATAAGCCCTGAACTTCAGGAACTCAGTTTGTGATTATCTGTGGTTCAGGGGATTGAACTCAGGGCCTTACACGTGGTAGGAGAGCACTTTTCTACTGAGCTATATCCCCATTCCCAAACTTTAAATTGTGATAATGTAATTAGAATGAATGTCCCTATATATGGAACTATTTTGGACATCTGTGAGGGGCTTTAGGCAGCAAAGCACTTGCCTATTTTCTCTTTTCTGTTCTTTCTCTTTTTTTCCCCCTTTCTTTCCAGACCTGGGGCTTGGACTCAGGGCCTGGGCACTGTTCCTGAGCTGCTTTTGCTCAAAGCTAGCACTCTACCACTGGAGCCACAGCACCACTTCTGGCCTTTTCTGTGTATATTGTACCTTTTTCTTGTTCTTTTTTTCCCCCTTATTGGGGCTTGGACTCAGATCCTAAAGCTCTCACTTAGCCTTCTTTTCTTTATCCAATCATGGCTGGCACTTTACCACTTGAGCCAAGTCTCCACTTATGGCTTTTTTTTTTTTTGCTGATTATTTTGGACATCAGAGTCTTGTCTATTTGTCTACCTTGTTTGGCTCTGAAACTTCACACTTAGATCTGAGGCTCCTGAGCAGCTAGAATGATAGAATTATAACCATCTGGGGGGGGGGCTGGGAAGGTGGTTCAGTGGTAGAGTGCTTGTCTTGCATGCATGAAGCTCTGGGTTTGATTCCTCAGCAACCACATAAGCAGAAAAAGCCAGAAGTGGTGCTGTGGCTCGAGTGGTAGAGCACTAGCCTTGTCCTGAAGAGCTGAGGGACAGCGCCCTGGCCCAGAGTTCAGGCCCCATGACCAGCAAAAAAAAAAAAAGCCATTTATGCCTAGCTGTACCTATTTTTCAGTTTATGGGAACTCTGCTTTTGAGTCTTGAAGTGAGACAGTAGCTTGGGTAGGCCCTGTAGTCCCAATACTTTGGAAGCAGAGGTAGAGGAATTTGCTCAATACTGTAAATTCCAGTATAACCACACTGTATAACCTAGTGAGCCACACACCCCATTCTCCAAATCAAATCCAAGTTGGAACCATAGTTCACACTATAATGCATTTGCTTAGCAAGCACGAAGCTATGAGTTCAATCCTTAGTAACATACACACACACACACAGAGTCTCTAACAAGCCAAACTGAGTTTATCCAGTTCTCCTTCAGAAATTGCACTGATTGATGGCCTGAGGAAGGCTGCTGAGGGTGGACACCCAGAGACCTTGCACGGGAGGGCTGTGAACCTGGAAACAGCTGCAATGTCCTGTACACCAGAGAGGCTGATCTTGGGGTGATCAGAACAAACACCCCCTCCATTTGTCTATCAGCCCCATGGATGTGAAGTCATGTTTTCGGGTGTCCATGTGAAAATCTGCATCAGTATTGTTCGTGGCAACAAGGACAAGAATATTGTTTGAAGCTGGGCACCTATGATCCTAGCGACTCAGGAAGCTGAAATATGAGGATCGCAGTTCCAAGCTGGCCCTGGCAGGAAAGTCCATGGGACCTCTTATTTCCAAGGAACCACTAAAAAAAAAAAAAGTCTGAAGTTGAGCTATGGCTCAGGTGGTAGAGTACTAGTCTTTAGGACAAAACAAAACAAAACAAAAAACCTCGGGGACAGTGCCCAGGCACTGAGTTCAAGCCCCAGGACCAGCACAATACAACAACAAAAAAGAATATTGTCAGCCGGGCGCTGGTGGCTCACGCCTGTAATCCTAGCTACTCAGGAGGCTGAGATCTGAGGATCACGGTTCAAAGCCAGCCCAGGCAGGAGAGACCGTGAGACTCCTATCTCCAATAAACCACCAGAAAACCGGAAGTGGCGCTGTAGCTCAAGTGGTAGAGCGCTCTCCTTGAGCTGAAGAGCTGAGGGACAGTGCCCAGGCCCAGAGTTCAAGCCCCACGACCGACAAAAAAAAAAGAATATTGTCTTGCAATGGTTCTGGTTACTTTTGGCAGTGGGGCCTATTAAAAGGGGTGTGTGTGTGTGTGTGTGTGTGTGTGTGTGTAAAGCCAACTGACCCTCCAAGTGAGAAATCTCTGCTTCTGGGCTTGTTTTCCAATGTGCATTGTCACTTAGTGTAACTGATTGGGGATTTTCAATGGTTGTATTCATACCCAAAGCATGAGTTCTAACAGTCATGCCATTGAGAGGAGAACAATGCTCACATTGTGCCTTTTTCCTTTTTTTCCCCCCTCTTTAAAATAGAAAACATATGGGGTTCCTGTGGAGCTATTGCGGGTTCTAACATTATGCTTTCCTTCTTTCCTTTGAACGCTGCAGGCGGTGCCCGGATTCCCAGTTCCTCAGCCATAGAAGCACTTGGAAGCCCATTCTGGATAAAAACTATTCATTTCTCCCTTTTTGCCTCTGCCTGCCCCCCTCCCCCCCTTGCATTCTCCCATTAGGATATTCTTAGAAACTCATTTTAACATCCTTGGAGGGTAAATGGTAACATTTCAAACAGAGTAAGCTTGAGTTGGAGGTGAAGTAGGAGGTGTAAACGCGCCCCCCCTCCCCCAGAAATAAGAAGTTTCTTTGCTCCACCTTGTCGGAGTGGGGAAAGAACCCTAATGTAGGGTTGCTTTCTTCCTGAACCAGTCTTTTGAGTCTTGTCTGCCTTCCTTCCTGCCCTAGTCCCCCTCCCCCGTTCTGTCCCATTCCATCATTCCTTAAACTCACCCACGCTAAAGATGTTCTGGGTGGATTGATCGGCACTCAGGTGACCCGCTGAAAGCCAGTGACTTGATCCTGCAGGATGCTACCAGCAGAGGGCACTGTTCTCTTTGAGGTGAAAGCTTCCATCTGACACCTGATTACCACCCACAGCCTGGCCATCTGGTGCTTCCTCTGGGCTAGCCACAGGGCCTTGGCTTTGCTGAACAGGGCCCCATGCTGGACTTGAAAGCTTGAGCTGAATTTTATTTTATTTTTGCGTCTGTTGGAAATACTGGCTAGCTAGCCACCCGGTGGGGTGTGTGTGTGTGTGTGTGTGTGTGTGTGTGTGTGTGTGTGTGTGTGTGTGTGTGTGTGTGTGTGTGTGTGTGTGTGTGTGTGTGTGTGTGTGTGTGTGTGTGTGTTTGTGGTCTGGCTCAATTTCCATCGCCAGTAGGCCTGCCTTGGAAAGTTGCTGGCTAATGAGAAATGTAGGGGAAGGTAGGAAAGAGAGGGATGTCCCGAGCCTCCCTAGTACAATAAAATCTTGCATAGTTTCCTAGAGTAGAAAAGGGGGTGAAGGGGGGGCCCTCTTGGGGTGTGTTCCGCTCCTCTGTCCTCTTGGGTTCATCACTGTGGTGCTTTCCCCCCTGGGAGGCCTTGAGGCGGTGCCCTGGGATGGAGAGGCAGGGAGGTTGGCTTCGTGATGGGGTTGTTGCTAGGCAACAGGCAGAGGCACTTGTCCCGCCCCCGCGCTGCTCTTCCTAATAAGGATTGAATTCATCTACTTTTTTTTTTTTTGAATTCATGTACTTTTTACCTTCAGGCCCTGTGCAGTCTTTCTCCAATACCCCGCTGGGCACACTGTGTACCCAGGCGCGCGATCAGCTTGGCAGAAAAGCTCAGAGATCCTTGGCTGGAACCAATTGCCAGGCTGTTTTGTTCATTCGGATGTAGATCAGAAGCTGGAGCCGAAATTGAGGCCACATGCAGTTGGAGACCGTTGAAGAAAAGGGGTGAATGGGAATTTGGGGGGGGCGTGAGGAGGAAAGGGGCACACTTGGTATAAAGAAGCCCTCTCAAGACCCACTCTTGAGTGGCGGGGCACTGGTGGCTCACGCCTGTAATCCTAGCTACTTAGGAAGAGGCTGAGGATCTGAGGATCATGGTTCAAAGCTAGCTAGGGCAAGAAACTCTGTGAGACTGTTATCTCCAATTAACCACCAAAATAGAAAAAAAAAATGCTGGAAGTGGAGCTGTGGCTCAAGTGGTAGAGCATTAGCTTTGAGCAGAAAAAGCTCAAAGACAGCACCCAGGCATGAGTTCAAGGTCCAGGACCAGCGTGCGTATGCACGCACGCACGCGCGCACACACACACACACACACACACCTCCTCTGTGTTAAGAGTCTCAGCCTTGCTTACCCCAGGGGGTCACCATGAGTGTGCATCTGTTGTCTTGGATATTTCAATCAGCGGGGAAAACTCTTTCCCATGTAGCAGGCTGGCTCACCACCAAGCCAACCTTTCACCACTGGTTCAAGTCCTGAGGTGCGGCAGTTCTGGACTTGAGTCCAGTTCCTTAAGCCCAAAGGTTAATTGAGAGCCATTTAAAATGGTCAGGAAATTGCCCAGAAGTCTAAAGGAAGAAGAATATGGTTCCTGGGTGAGGGGGCCCCCTCCCCGGGTCCCCAGGTGAATGGTGCAGTATTAGTCTTAAATGTGGAACAGAGGTGCTAGAAGTATGTGGGTTAAGAAAGACATTGTTGGCTGGGAGGGTGGCTTAGTGGTAGAGTGCTTGCCTAGCATGCATGAAGCCCTGGGTTCAATTCCTCAGTATCACATACACAGAAAAGTCCGGAAGTGGCACTGTGGCTCAAAGTGGTAGATGCTAGCCTTGAGCCAAAGAAGCTCAAGGATAGTGCCTAGGCCCTGAGCTCACGTCCCAGGATTGGCAAAAAATTTTTTTAAAAATTTAAAAAGACATTGTTGCTAGGTACCAAGTAGCT